ATCCACTTTGGAGGTAACATTTGATAAATCGTCTAATTCTCCTTTGAAATCTGTTCCTTTCTGCCTCTGTGAATTCTCAAGAGTTATGAACCACACATGTATATAATGTTAATTTATTTTTATTGTGTCTATCATTACTTTCTGTGATATATTGGTGTTTCAGTGGTAGAATTCTTACCTTTCAGGTAGGCGACCATTGTTGCAGCCACTGTGTCAATCCATCTCACTGCAACTATGGGATCAAGCATAGCAAGGATTGTGAGGATGGTGCAGGACCAGGCAGTGTTTTGTTCTGTTGTACACAGGTCACCGTGAGTCACAGCTGACTCAATGGCACCTAACAACAACAACAACAACAACGTTCAAGCCATCAGTTTCAATTCCCAGACAGTGTACCTAATGTGCAGCTACCATCTGTCTATTGGTGGAGGCTTGTGTTTTGCTATGATGCTGAACAGGTTTCAGGAACACTTGCAGACTAAGGTAGACTAAAAAGAAAGGGCTGCTGATCTACTTCAGAAAAATTAGCCAATGTAAACCCTGTGGAACACTATCTGTTCAGCAGCTGATTATAAGAATGGTGCAGCACTGGGCAGTGTTTCCTGCCTCAATGCACAGATTACCATGACTCAAGCCAATTCAGTGGCAGCTAATGACATCACCTCTTTGTTTGAGTTCCAAGTTTCCGAATTTGATGGAGAAACAGATATGGGCTTTCTTTATCCCTGTTGACTCCAATTTTAAAGTCTTGGGTTATTGCCTATAGTTTTCCTCCTTTTGGACAGAATAATTGTAACCTATTTTAGTAAGCCCTTGAATCGCCATTCCCTGTATTTAATTAGCTCAAGGGTTGCTTTGTTGAGGACTGACCAGTACTCTATGTGTTTACCCTAGCACGGTATATATAAGCAGAGTGACACATTCGGTTTTGGTTTGCATATTCTTTCTTCTGATATTGCTGAGCTTTGGGCTGTAATTACAGTTTAGATCCATGTTCTTAGTTGTAAGACATGACAGAGGCCATTATCCTTGGACATGTTCTGTGGGCCATGTACTTGAGGAGGATTACTGCATTTTTATACAAATAACATACTCATTGCACATTTTTGAATACTGCACAACCCCTCACAGGCTAGTTTCAGAAGCTTGCTATAACAAAAATCAAATCCATTGCCTTTGAGTTGAATTCCTACTCATAGCAACCCTATAAGACAGAGTAGAACTGTCTCATAGAGTTTCCAAGGCTGTAAATCTTTACAGAAGCAGACTGCCACATCTTTCTACTGCAGAGCAGCTGGTAGGCTCAAATTACTACTTGTTTGTTTAGCAAGTGAGTGCTTAACCACTGTGCCATCATGTCTCCTAAGTATGATATAGCAATATTTTTTTTTTTACATGTGGTTGACTTCAATTTTAATTTTTTCTGTCCAACGGACTTAATGTTAAGTCTTTGTCTTGGTGCCTGTTGACATGGAGGTTCGATTCCCACCAGCAGGCATTCACTGGCCTACCTTGAATTTCTAAAGCAGCTTCTCTCCTGGTAGGATTCTTTCTCTGTTCCACAAACTGCTTTCTCCAATGCAGGAGGAAACACCTTTTCCTGCCCTTGTGAACAGACCACACCAGGGTGGCCAGCCCCAGCCGGGGAGTGTGTGAGTCTGCACACCCCACATTAGAGCAGCCACTCAAGCAGGCAAGGCCAGTGCTGCAGCCCTGCCCATTCCACACCTCCATCCAGCTGGCCCGCTGCTGCGCTGGGGCCATTTGAATCTCTCATTATATGGACATGACAGGGTGAGCATGAGAGCCACTGGTGCATGTCTCTGGCTGGAATGAGACTGGTCCAGCTGACAATCTGGGGGCCTGTGTGGCTGGGGCAGTGCACTGTCCTGCCATCTGGCTTCATGTGGAGTCAGCACTGCTAGATCTGGGTGCACATGGGCAATGGCCCCCGCCTGTCACAGGACTAGTCTTGCTCAGGCTGTGGCAGCCTCACACGCAGCCCTCTGCCCAACCCTCTGCCCAACCCTCTGCACAGATCGACTGTAAGGAACTCCACCATTCTCAGAGCTGGCCATAAACTGCCCAGAGCAAATGCATGGCTTCAATTGTTTATTTTCCAATTATTGGGGTACTACCAAACTCAGTCTATAACTGCTTGACCATAGTGTATACCTTTAATATACAAATACGATCAAAAGTAACATTTTTGGACTACTGAATGAGGGTGAGTGGGAGCTCTGGTGGCATAGTGCCTAAGGCATTTGACTGCTAACCAGAAACCTGGTGGTTCAAACCCAGCAGCCACTCCTCAGAAAGAATAATGGGCGATCTACTTCTGTAGAGATACTGCCTTGGAAACCCACTATGAGTTGAATGTGACTTGACGGTAGTGAGTGAGAATGAGGAAGAAATTCACTTCTGGAAATGTCAGGACATATGTGCAGTGCATACAGGGGTGTGCTATGTCAGAACTTTTTAAAACATATTTTGTTATTTTTGTGTGTCATATGTATGTACATTTTTGTGTAAGTGTACTTTTTGTGAAAAATAGGTAGTTGTAGAGATAATCTAAAATAGCTACCAGTACTGCTGACATCATTACTTGGTAATGACTGTAGTGTATCCTCTATACCCAATTTACATATGCATATATAGTGAGTTTTTTTTTTTGGTATAGGAAGATTTAACTGAATAAACTCTAATGAATAAAAAATTACTTTAGATTATGTAAACATATTGATGGAAGGAAAGGATCATTGGGAGAAAAGACTTTGTTGGATGATAGGAAAAACCCATCTGGGATTAAATGGCTGCTGTAGATACTTTTCAAAATGAATGAATCCATATGAATCAATCTAACATGTATGATCAGCTTTGCAAATAACTGTGTTGTCTCTGGTTTTTAAAAAGGAGAGTTGAGAAGCCAACATCTAGTGAAGAGTTAGAAAAAAAGTAACTGAAAAGGAAAATGCTTTTTCCAGGAGAAAACAAAAATGGTTGAGTTTGATTTTCCTCCCTCTCTTGCCTTCCTACCCCTCCCTCTCCCTTATTCTCCCTCTCTCTTCTCTTTGGCCCCCCACCTCCCTCCCTCCCTTCCTTCCTTCTTTTCTCTCTCTCCTTCTTTCATTCTTTTTTTCTTTCTCTCTTCCTTCCTTCTTCCCTCCTTCCCTTCCTGCCCTCCACCCTCCTTCCTTTCCTTCCTTCCTTCTCCCTTCTTCACTCTCTTCCTTCTTTTCTTTCACATAAATGCATCTTTTAAGCTTCCATTACATTCTGCTGTAGCTTTAACCATTATAGTACTTACTTCTTATCTCAGGGCACCTTATTGGCGGTACACAGATCTCTATCTTCTCATTGGACTGTAAGCAACTTGAGGGATATCTACAGCTCATTCACAGTGGTCCTCATTGTACTTTACAGATCACTGGCCATAGATATAAATAATTAAGTTAGAGTGACTTGATAACTTTAACAATATGAAGTATTATGATGAGAAATGAGCTACATAATTGTTCTTTGGAAACAAATTTTATTAGAATAATAGAAGGGGTTTTCAGGCAAAAGATAAAAAGATATTTTCTAGACTGTAAGAGTAATGAGACGCTGCAATAGATTACCAGGGAAAGAAGTGAAATCTCTATCCCTGGAGATTTTGAAAAATTGGACAGAGAAAACATCTGTGAAAATGGTTTAAGCATCAAACCTGTCTTGAGGCAAGAAGATGGAAAGAATGACAAACGGTTCTGCAATTCTTTGATTACTTAGCCTGGGGAAGAGAAGACCAAGAGGGAGACATTGAAATGACTTCAAATATGGAAAGCAGCTAGTATTGTTTTCCATACAGTACGGAAAATAAGTTGAATGAGCATAAAAATAAAGTCTTAGAAATTTAAGTTACATTTCATAATTAAGGATTTTAAGTCATAGGTTGTGGAAATCAGTAAAAGGCAAAATACTGATTTTTGTGAGATGTGGAAAGTCAGTTCCACAATTCTGTTGCAGTGTAAATACTTTGTGCAGTAGTCTGAATAGGGACAGTCATTCCGATACATTATATTGAGTGTGTAGCATTTTTTGGGAAAGTAAGATTTAATGAAAGTGTTACTTTAAAGCACCAATTTTCAGCACTGATTCAAGGATAAGAAGGGAACTGAGATAATAGATGTGAAGGCAGTCCTTCTAAATACGTGTATGAGGAGCTCTGGTAGCACAGTGCCTAAGGCATCTGACTGCTAACCAGAAGGTTGGTGGTTCAAACCCACCTACCGCTCCATGGAAGAAAGATGAGGCAATCTACTTCCCTAAAGATCTACCTCCTTGGAAACCCAATGGAGGTCGCTAAATACTTCTATACCAACACACACACACACACACACACAAAACCCTCACTGCCGTGGATTTCGACCGTAACCACTCCTTGGGTTTCCAAGGCTTGTGGAAGTAGATTGACCAGTCTTCCTTCTGAGGAGTGGCTGGTGGGTTCTACGCCACCAGAGTTCCCGTAGAGTTGTATTATTAAATTATCGTTAGGAGTCTGGGACAAAGCTGTCTACTGCTGGTTCACCCTTGTTTCGGCTACTGAGCATTTGCCAATGAAAGTGTAAAAGAATCAAAAGGGTACAAAACTCTTATCAATAAAACCAACCAAAAAAACCAAACTCATTGCCCTCAAGTCAAATCCGACTTATAGCGACTCCTCCTTGGGATTCCGAAGCAGTATCACTGCAGAAGTAGATTGCCCAATCTTCTTTCGGAGGAGTAGTTGGTGGGTTTGAACCGCCACCCTTCTGGTTAGCAGTCAAATGCCTTAGGCACTATGTCACTAGAGGTCCCCTATCAATAAAAAAAAGTAAAAAAAAAAAAATAAATAAAAATAAAAAGGAAACCAAAATACACACTAAAAAATAATCTACATTAGGTACTTTATTGTAATTTCAATATTACACCACACGATGTCGCAATTGGATTTTGATTTCACTGTGTGTTTGCCTCACTAGATGAAGGCATTTTCAAAGCTGGAGCTGAGAGATCTGAAACGCGGGGGGCAGCAGAAATCCAAGAAGATGAAGATACTCAAGTTGAAGTCCCAGTTGATCAGGTAATCTCCACGTCTTTTTTTTTTTTTTTTTTTTTTATTAAAAAAAAATGTACAAACCAATTACTACTGGCTTCCTTTCCTTTAAGTTTTGTGTTTTTCCTTAAGTTTTGTGTTCCTATATATGCCATTCCTATATGTGTTATTGAACATTTCAGGTGCCGTGTGGTTGAATTACCTTAAAATCAAAACAAAACACTCTTCAATTCTTCCTAGTATTCCTTCAAATAGCCATTGGGCTGAGCCCTTTCTTTATCATGCAAAGTCAAATATGTTTATTAAACAGCCCTGGAAAGGAAGGTGGGATAGAGTTAGGTGTGAGATACAAACAGAGAAAATGTGATACAATGAAGAGTCTTGGCTTGGGGTTTTTATCTAGAAATAGATCCACCATCTAGAAAAGAAGTTTCTTTGTTTATTGTTTTTATTTTTTTTAATGAACACATTGATAGTATTTCCTTTAGTATCCTTAAAATTGTTGTGATTAGAATTTATTTTTCATGAAGGAATTGCTTATATGAATGCAATGCAAATATTTGCTATGCTGTGTGTGTATATTGACTTTCCTAGGTCAACAGAACAATGAACTCCTAGGAGTGTGTCTATGTGGGTGTGTATGTGTGGGCTTATAGAAGGGACTGAGTGGCGTTAATGCTGCCTAAATGATACAAAAACATAAAAGTCAGTTATGCTTCTTAATACAATTCAGCAAGGTTTTCTTATAGTCCTAAATGGAAGATTGAAATTTAGATGAGGAGGGATTAAGTCATAATCCCAAGCTCATGGGAACAGGAAAAAGTCACTAGAGATTGCCACTTGTCCTGTGTCTATTATGTGATATTTCATTTCCAAAAAGCAAATTTCACAATCCAGTCAATTCCATAGGTGATCTCTTCAGTTATATTTGTCTTAACAGTGAGGCAGTGAAATTGCTGCTTGAATATTCCACAGGCATTTTCTGCCAGCATTGCCTTTTTGATGAAAAGCCTAACGTGTTAAAAATCACACAGATTTCAGAAATCCAATTTATTATCCAGGATTAGCTATAACTAACAATTTTTCATAAACTCCAGTTATAGATATTTTTTCCCCCTGAGGGAAAATGGAATTTTAAGTCTTCTGTGGAGCTGTAATTAAATATTATATTTTTAGACCAAGAAGAGTAATCATCATGTATGTATCACAACTAATAACCCCAGAAACCAAGACTAATTTATATTCCAGAGTCAAAATGCCAAGTGTCAAGAGAAAAGCATAGTGCTATTACCAAAAGAGAAATCTCTTTGTTAATCACTGACTTAACAAAATCTGATAGGTGTTTCTTTAGGAACAAATTTGATGATCACAAGTGAGGGGAGCTGGGTAGAAAAACTGATCTCTGAAAATACTTGAGCAGCCTTGGATAAGGTGTCTGCAGAGCTTGGTTTTTTATTTGACTTAAGAATTCTAGCTTATTAAAATACAACTATGCAAGAGAAAGGAGCTCTGGTAGCGTAGTGCCTAAAGCACTTGACTGCTAACCAGAAGGCTGGTGGTTCAAACCCACCAGCCACTCCTCGGAAGGAAGATGGGACAATCTACTTCCATAGTGATACTGCCTTGGAAACCCAAGGAGGGGTCTCTATGAGTCAGATCCGACTCGATGGCACATAACAACAACAATAACATGCAAGAGAAGGGGTCCCTGGGTGGTGCAGACAGTTAACATACTTGGCTGATAACTGAAAGTTGGTGGTTCAAGTCTACCCAGAGGTGCCTTGAGAGAAAGCCCTGGTGATCTACTTCCAACGAATCAGCCACTGAGACTGCAGTGGAGCACAGTTGTACTCTGGCGCCCTTGGGGTTGCCAGGAGTCAGACTTGATTGTAACTGGTATGCATGAGAGAATGACTTATCAGACTGGTAAAAGCTGGGAAATATCAACAAATTGATGTCAGCTTGAAGGAAATAGAACCAAGTTGAAGAAGATCAGAATTAGTTTCCCCTCTGATCTTATTGGGAGTTGTTGTTATGTGCTGTCGAGTCGGCCCTGACTCATAGTGACCCCTCCTTGGGTTTCCGAGGCAGTATCACTACGGAAGTAGGATTGCCCAACCTTCCTTCCGAGGAGTGGCTGGTGGGTTTGAACCACCAGCCTTCTGGTCAGCAGTCAAGTGCTTTAGCCACTATGCTACCAGAGCTCCTTTATTGGGAGTAGAGTGAGGATTATCTAGCTCATTTGGTTGACGTGCGGTACTTCCTATGAGGTCAGGTTTTGGAGTCATTCTCTGTGAGGTCTGGTAACTTTTGTTCTCTCTCCTAAGCAGCTATGTTATAAATATTGTGAAAAACTAAGTGAATGTGTAGAGAAATTAGTGCAAAACCCACTGGCTGGCTCCATTATAATAAGAACAGTTCTAGGGGCATATTCTAATGGTGATTTTCATTAAACAATTGTTAATTGCCATTGAGTTGGCTCCAACTCATGACAACTCCATGTGCAGCAGAACAAAATATTGCTATGTCTTGTGCCAGTGTCAAGATCATTGATATTTTTGAGTCCATTGTTGTAGCTATCATATCATTCCATCTCTTTGAGGGTTTCCCTCATTTTTGCTGGCATTCCACTTTACCAAACACCGTGCCCTTCTCTAGGGAATGGTCTTTTTTGATTATGTTCAGGGCTATACCAAACCAAACCCACTGCCATCGAGTTGATTCGACTCATAGCGACCTCTCCTTGGGTTTCCAAAGAAGTGTCTTTACAGAAGTAGATTGGCCAATCTTCCTTCTGAGGAGTGGCTGGTGGGTTTGAACCGCCAGCCTTCTGGTTATCAGTCAAATGCCTTAAGCACTATGCTATCAGAGGTCCCTTTCCAGAACTATAAAAATTAGCCAATGAAAGCCTTATGGGTCATAATAGAATATTGTCCAATATAGTTTTGGACTATATTGGACAATATGTTGATTCAACTCATAGCGACCCCTCCTTGGGTTTCCGAGGCAGTATCTTTACAGAAGTAGATTGCTCCATCTTTGTTCTGAGGAGTGGCTGGTGGGTTTGAACTGCCAGCCTTCTGGTTAGCAGTCAAGTGCCTTAGGCACTATGCTACCAGAGCTCCCATATTGGACAATATAGTGGACTGATTTTGGACTGATTTTCAGAAGTAGATCACCTCACCCAGCCTTTCTTCCTTGTCTATCTTAATCTGGAAGCTCTGCTGAAACCTGTTTACCATGGGAGACCCTGCTGATATTTGAAATACTAGTGGTTTAGCTTCCAATGTCATAGCAACAAGCAAGCTATCACAGTATGACAAATTGACAGGTAGTTATTTAAGTAATAGTTACCATTTATTAAATACTTGCCAAATGCCAGGCACTGTAGTAGGCATTTTTATCTAAATTGTGATGACAGCACTGTAAGATAGATCTCATCATTCTCACTTTGTATTCAGAAAAAAAAAATGAGCTCATATAGATGAAATTGGTTGGCCATGGTTATACAGCTGAGGACTTGGGGTTTGAATGCCGGTCTAACTTCAGCACTTCTGCAGAGGAGTGATTTGGGAGGAAGAGTATTAAATGGGAAAAAAAGGCAAATTATTAACCCAGGGAAGGAAAAAATTCCTACATAAAAAATGTAGCCATAGTATAATACTTGGCTCAGGTATAAATAATATATAGATGTGCACTCTCTCAGTCCATACCTGGTTAATGTCTTCAGACTGGTTTCCCTTCATCTAAATGATTCATGTTATAATTTTAGTAAAAGGACTATGATGAGGGGAAGGGCTATCTGTGTGTGTGTATAAATATCTTGTGCAAATGACCAAGTAATTTATCTGTGGTAGAAAATCTGATCAAGGTTTAGAAGTAAATATCAAGGCCTCTGTTGGAGGACAGTTCCTGATTCTCCTTTGTTTTTCAGCAGATCTTGTGAGTGGAGGGCACTGATTACCTTTGTTCTGGATTAGTTTTTCAAGGATGTTTGTATAGCGAAACAGCCTTGAAAGACAGAGATAGTGTCTTCTCTGGAGAAATCTTTCTCAACTGGGGGCAATTCAGCCTCCAAGGAGACATTTGGCAATTTTTGGGGACGTTTTTGGTCATTGTAACTGGGGGAGTGCTACTGGCATCTAGTGATTACCAGGATGCTGATAAATATAATGCACAAGATAGTGCCCCGTAAGAGAAATTATCCAGCCCAACATGCCAATAGCACTGAAACTGAGAAACCCTGCTCTGGAGCAAAAGCCAGATTTGTTTAATAAAGATACTGTCTCTTTATTAACGTGAGTCAGGTTTACTGTTCACTGGTGCAGGAGTTAAAGTAATTGGCTGCTAACCAAAAGGTTGACAGTTTGAACCCATCAGCCCCTCTCTCTGTGGGAGAAAGATAAGGCAATCTGCTTCTGTAAAGATTTACAGCCCTGGAAACGGTATGGGGAGTTCTACTTTGTCCTCAGGGCTGCTATGAGTCAGAATTGACTTGATGGCAGCGGGTATCAAAGATTTGGGTTCCCTGGACTTGGGGTTCTTCCTGTGAATGCAAGCCACTGTGTCATGGGAAGGCATCACTTAGCCCTCTTCCATTGCTCTGTGGTAACTGGGTCTTGGGGAATAGGTGCAAGTATTAATACTCTGGTTACTGGTATTACTGTGAGTAATAAAACCTTTTGTCTCTGACCCAGGAGTGTTGTGTCTTCTGCCAGCCTCTATGAAACTGTACAGGCTAATGTACAAGCTTGCAAGTAGGGTAGAATTTCAGACTTTTACATTTCTTGATAGCCTCTACTGGTACCATCTAGCATGTGTGTTTGTGTGAGTGTGTGTAATGGGATGTGATGAACTGATTATAGCTAAGGAAGAATCTGAGCTCTGCCCCAAGGTCTAGATTCTTTTCATGCATTACAGACCAATTAATTATGATGGACCTAATGCTATTTCCAAACCCATGGGGAAAATGAATACTCATATTCTTTTATGTATTTGGGGAGGACCCCCTTCCCTTAAAAAGTCTT